AAACGTATAAGAGAAGTCTTACTGCCTTTCTTTCCTTGTTTTCCCTTTTCATCACGCTCCGCTTTCTATCACCTATTCTCTCCTTACTCTGCCCACCTTCAATTTCTTCCTCTTTCCTACTTTTAACTCACATACACGGTTCATGACATGGTGCAGTGTGTCGATAGGTGAGAGCCAAGCATAGGGTTCCTTTTTGTTGTTAAACTCCTAGCACATTGCAAAGGGGCTCCAGATCCCATCCACAATTGTGACTATTCACAAAACGTTGTGTCCTGTTTAAGTGAATGTTTAATATATAATGTTTATTATTAATGGGAACGCAAATGTTACATGTCCCTAGATGGATGGAAACATTGTATCCACATGTTATTAACGCTGACAATTCACTTTATTGCTTACCCACCTGACAACAATCAAGACTTATGAAGCAGGTGATGCTGATGAGCATAGGCGCTCAAAATGTATAACATGCAGCAGTTTATTGAACATTACTATGAGCTATGTACACAAAATGGATCTGCCCTGGATGATGTAAGAGGTTTCCTCTCCTGAAATCTATTAATACAGAGAGAAGATAGGTGGAGCGATACCTGTAAAGGGATCTATGCATTTTGTATGAGCCGATGCAATTACTGGCTCCATCCTATGTGAGTGCATCTACCATATTGGTCTTCCTTGTATTCATAACCGTACCATCTACACTATATTGTGTTGTATTCTCTTCATCTTTTATGTATTGCTGCATTTGACCCCCCACACCCCGTCCTCCAATTAACTGTTGCAGGACGGTAAGTCATTACCACTTTGCATTGGCGCTCTACTATAAGACTTTGGATGATTCACATATTATCTTTTGTTTTATGAAATTTATAGTGAGGGTGGTGAGGTACCGTTCATGAGTGTATTAGAGCTGCTATACGTATTATTTTTTATTAGCTCTTTGATACTTTACACAAGGTATGCTATGCTGACTGACAGGTGTAAAGGGTGGAGCTTATAACAATGATTGACAGGGAGCTAAGATGGAAGTGGTTCTCTCTATACTGATTGACAGGTGTAAAGGGTGGAGCTTATAACAATGATTGACAGGGAGCTAAGATGGAGGTGGCTCTCTCTATACTGACTGCCAGGTGTAAAGGGCAGAGCTTATAACAATGATTGACAGGGAGCTAAGATGGAGGTGGCTCTCTCTATACTGACTGACAGGTGTAAAGGGTGGAGCTTATAACAATGACTGACAGGGAGCTAAGATGGAGGTGGCTCTCTCTCTCTATACTGACTGACAGGTGTAAAGGGCGGAGCTTATAACAATGACTGACAGGGAGCTGAGATGGAGGAGCTCAGTTACAGGATAAAGACATGAGGATTTCTACCTTTATTTTTACTTTTTAACCGTTATAAATATGGGGACAAGTATAACATAATATTAAAAAGCATTTTGGAACTAAATAAGAACTATTCTCCCACAGTAGCAACCAACACTACCATTTAAAGTTCATCTGTCCTTTAAAAAAAAAAAAAAACAAACAAACAAATCATATTCCCTATGTTCTGACTTCATTCATTACTGTAATCATTTTTGAGAATTATCCTACCTTTATTGGTAATAAGTATTCTGGAATGTATCTCCATAACTTCATACCGGGCCCTAGAATAAAGATATTACATATCACTGTCTGATGGGTGGATCAGTCAGTTTCTGACATTTCCTATAATGGTACAGCGATGGGAGAATATTGGAACTTTCCCAGAGAAGCCAACTGTTGATGAGCTAGTCCTAAAAGCTACCCTGCAACTGCAAACATCCTAGTACCCTGTCCCGAGTATTACTAGCACAGCATCTGAGAACGTCCAGCCTCGCCGGATACCCAGAGAGCAAGAGTTAATAAAACGAGAAAAAATAAAATGGGAGTAACTGTTGACCCATAAAGTCCGCAAGCAAATGAGTTAAAACAACGTATATAGATAATGTAAACATTTAATGAAGTAGTATGTTAGTAATCATAGTGAAGTTAGGGTAACCATAATTCGTTTTCCTGTGGTTAACACTTCCCATTTTGTCGTGTTGTTGCATATATATGTATGAAGAGGAGCAAAGAGAAATATTTTTGTATCTTTCTGGCGAATATGATGATAAGCTGCCCGTACACTGAGCACGTCAGACGCACTCACGTATGGGTTTAAACACATGGAATCCATCGCAGGCACATTTAAACATTTTTCCTGACACGGTGACAGCTATTCCAGTGACAGACCATGTGCCACACTATAATATACTTGGATCATATGGGAGCCCGGTCCTTTGCTTGTTCCACGTTTGTGATAATATTGAATAACTTCATATGTGATGTGCAGAAATTCCACTCGTGTTTATCTTATTCTAATCTCAGAGAACCGGTTATTTCACAGCTCCCAGCATTTCAAATAGCCCAAAAGGAACACTTTCATTTTAAGGGTGTGAGTGCAGGTATCACCAGGGCCGGGGCTGTTCGGAGAGTGAGTGGGGGAATCACCAGGGCTGGGGCTGTTCGGAGAGTGAGTGGGGGAGTCACCAGAGCCGGGGCTGTTCGGAGAGTGAGTGGGGGAATCACCAGGGCTGGGGCTGTTCGGAGAGTGAGTGGGGGAGTCACCAGAGCCGGGGCTGTTCTGATTGTGAGGTATCCTCAGGGGTGGGGACGCTTTCAGAGTGAGTGGGGGTGTCAACAGGGCCGGGCTGTTCTGATTGTGAGGTATGCTCAGGGGTGGTGACGCTTCAGAGTGAGTGGGGGGTATCACCAGGGCCGGGGCTGTTCTGATTGTGAGGTGTCCTCAGGGGTGGGGACGTTTTCAGAGTGAGTGGGGGGGGGGTGTCACCAGGGCCGGGGTTGTTCTGAGTGTGAGTGGGGGGGTGGCCAGGGGTGGCACTGTTCTGAGGGTGAGTGGGGGTTATCACCAAAGGGCAGGCTGTTGTGAGTGGGGGTGTGGCACTGTTCTGAGTGTGAGTGGGGAGTGTCACCAGGGCCAGGGCTGTTCTGAGTGTGAGTGTCACCAGGGCCAGGGGTGGCACTGTTCTGAGAGTGAGTGGGGGTGTGGCCAGGGGTGGCACTGTTCTGAGTGTGAGTGGGGGTGTGGCCAGGGGGCTGTTCTGAGTGTGAGTGGGGGTGTGGCCAGGGGTGGCACTGTTCTGAGAGTGAGTGGGGGTGGCCAGGGGTGGCACTGTTCTGAGAGTGAGTGGGGGTTATCACCAAAGGGCAGGCTGTTGTGAGTGGGGGTGTGGCACTGTTCTGAGTGTGAGTGGGGAGTGTCAACAGGGCCAGGGCTGTTCTGAGTGTGAGTGGGGGTGTGGCCAGGGCCAGGGCTGTTCTGAGTGTGAGTGGGGGTGTGGCCAGGGGTGGCACTGTTCTGAGAGTGAGTGGAGGTTGTCACCAAGGGGTGAGATGTTGTGAGTGGGGGTGTGGCTGGCTGTTCTGAGAAATTTTAGGTGACTTACTAATAACAATTTATAGAACTAAAATGTAATAGAACCATGTATCTAATTCACACAGACTCTTTTCTAAACACATTTATTGTAGTTTAAAGACACATTACGAATAGAGGGACATTAGGATAGAAAGGGCCAAAAATAGGGACTGTCCTTCCTAAATAGGGACAATTGGGCGGTATGGGGTTATTGCTTTTTCTGTTAAATTCCCCTGATATTATTATTGTTTTATTATTTATATAGCGCCATCATATTCCGTAGCGCTGTACAATGGGTGTTATAAAGTGATAAAGGATTTGCTGGGATAATGGGGCACACCTAGAGCAGTGCTTATAGTGGAGGCCTTGGTTTCCATGGTGACTGCACACTCTTTGTGCCCAATAGCCAGCACACAGCGAGCTGCCCCTTTAACGGCTCTCAGAACTTTGTGACCTCCGACCAATAAACAGAGCCGGCCGGGAGGAGGGGGAGGCGCCTAACCTCGCCTTTAACTGCCAGACCGTTCATCAATGCGGCCGGGCGGAACCATCTGCCGCGCAAAGATAGGGGGGACGTGTGTGTGCCCTGGTTGTGTTTTGAATGTAAATGCGGCCATTTTCCCCGCTGCTGGGTCCTACTAACTGCGAGGAGGGAGGGGGGGACCACCAGCTGCATTATTATTTATTGCCCCCAGTGAGGACAAATAACTCCCCACCAGGCACAGCAGGGCAGTGTGTGTAATAAAACATCCAGCATTCTCCCTCCTGTAAACAAACCCCCTATAAAGGGGCTCAAACAGCCCCCTACACATACCTCCCCCCCTCCCTCCCCCGTGTTTGGTTCAGTCCCAGCTCTGCAGAAAAACCCCATTCCAAATGCACAGAGAGTGTTTTATTGCAGCAAGTGAGCAGCCCTGCACCCAGCTCCCCCTCTATTTACCTGCTGGGTGGTTCAGGCCAGGGGAATTTTTTTTTCTGTGTTATTTGCAGAGGGGGGGGGAGGGGGCTAGGAGGCTTCAGGGTGAAAGGTCACAGCAGCTGCCATCTTTATTTTGGGACAGTAAATAATGCAAAAATAACCAGGGAGGGAGGAGGGAGCTGGGGGGGCACTGAGGGGTGGGGGGAGAGATTTGGATGCAGAAGAAGGAAAAAAAATCATTAAATTCCCCCCCAGCCCTGCAGTGTCTGTGAGGACCAGGGGGAGGAGGACCAGGGGGGAGACAGGGGGGGGGACAGGGCTGGGTGATGTCATTGCAGCCCAGATCTGCCTTTTTATTCTCAATGCTCTGGGTAGTTTTTTTTTTTAAAATAGGCATTTTTTTTTTTATTTAAAAAAAAATAAAAAAAAATTCAAGGGAGAAAATCAGCCTTTAGGGGGCACTTGTCTTCAAGGGACACAGAGAAATCCAAAAAGCAGAGAGAAGGAAGGGAGGGGGAGCACAGAGCAGAGGGAGAGGGGGGGAGAAAAGAAGAAGAAGAAGAAGAAGAAGGGAAAAAAAAAATACATTTAAAATATCTTTATATATTATTATTATTATTTATTTATTTATTTTCTCTCCCAGCCAGTATGGATGCAAACTGGAGCAGTTTTATATTCCAGGTAATGTATGTCTATGGGGCTGCACAGGGGGTGGCTGGGCTCCTTCTATATTTGGGGGTTATGCATGAGATCAGAGGGTACCCCCTCCTTTGTGGTGGTGCTGTAAGTGAGGGGTGGGGGGGGATGTCTGGATGAGAAAATGAAAGGGAGCTCTGAAATTGGCATCTTCTTGTCCCTGTGAGTGTGTATTTTTTTTGCAGGGAGGGAGGGAGAGAGCGATGGTGCTGGGTGTTTAAATCACCACCCCTCCCTCCCATCTTTTCCCCTCTCCCTCTTTCCTTTTCATATAAATACTCCAGGCTCTGCAAAGGAATTTATTGTAAAGGGAGCATGGCTCATTGTGTTTGTCTGTCTATATATTAATCTAACCTTGTACCATGCTTGTAGGATTCTGTGTGTAAGAACACGGGGCACATCGCCGGCTCGCTATGTGGTTTACACAGCCGCCCCAAGTTATTCGTTCGTTCTGTTTACTCTTTGTTGAGAGCCAGTCACTTCTTATTGAAAACGGGGTTAAAATGTACGGTGCAGGATTATACGTGTGACCGCTAACCATATGTGTGTTCTTTGCATGAGGCTTGTGAACGTGCCAGATATGCATACGCTAAATGTGAATCTTAGCAGCCTAGATATGCTATAGAATTGTGTTTTAGTACTCATACGGCTCACTTGTTGCAATATGCAGTGTATGGCGGGGGGTATATGTGTGTGCGTGATCAATGTAGAAGCATTTTCATTGTATGCAAATTCTTCTCTTCGATTAATGTAGAAAGTGTCAAAATATTCTGCTGCACAGATTCAAAGTGGTTTTTAATGATCCCTTTGGGGAGCTTTTCTGTGTGTGTGTATGTGTATAAATAGTATACGAATGTACATGAATTTAGAATACTTGCACCTTGCAAGGATACAATGTGCATAGTAATTACAGTATTAGCAACATGTTGCAATCCTCTTATATTAAGTTCAATATGACGCCCATATGGTCGGTTAAATTGATATGTATATCGGAATAACTGTATGTTGTTACAGTAAAATGTAAATTTTTCTCTGGTTTTTAAAGCACAGACACTGTGTGATATTCAATTCTTCGAAACAAAGCGATATACAGTATTGTGTGAAATAAAGTATTTGGGGCCTTACTCCTAAGAGCTCGCAATCTAAGGGTAGACATTTGCACTATTAAGCAGGAGAAGTGGAGATGTGTTCAGAAATGCTTATAGCCTCCCAGAGTAACTCATATTTACTTATCCATATCTGTCTCTTGCTTTCCTGAAGAGCCACACTCACCTCCAGTCCTGCTACCTTTCCACATTGTTTAGTGGCGGACACCTTTGCTGTCCTATTGAGTTTTTGTACCCCACCTCCTCTAGACTGCTACCTCTTTTGAGCAGGGTCCTTATCTACCAATTGTGCCTGTGTTATTGTGTAATTGTCTCATTTATTGTAAAATGTCACCTTTTTTTAATATTGTAAAGCGCTGCAGAATTATTTGGCGCTTATAAATAATAATAATGTGATTTAGGAAACTGAAGGGCATGGCACAGGTTTGGATAATTGAGGTTAGTGGCAGGTTCAGATTGAGCATGTGATGTCTCAGTCAGATTGTAAGCTTTGGGCATGTCCCTCCTTCTGGATGTCTCTGTAGACCCTTTAAATACCATAACACACACTGCCTTGTTCTGAGTAATAATCTGTTACAGACATGGTGTCAGGAAGGGTCCGATAGTCACACGGGTAACTAGCAAAAGGGTCATCACATGTAACGGACAAGGTGTACTAAACCCTAAATATTAGTCAATTCAAATCCAAATTACAAAATATAAACTGTGACCATGGGGGATTTGGAGAAATTCTCTAAATACGCTGTTTGCCTTTATTTGTTCGTTGAGGTTTCTACTTGATTTTTAGTAAATAACTTGAGGGTTTAATTTTAAATTCTATTTCTATCCTATAAAGTTGTGCGTTACATAGCCCCAATCTAAATATTCCTACAAAAAATCAGGTATATCCCGTGTTGAACCCCATCTCTTATTTATAAAACCTATGAGTTTACTAGTATTCTTCCCCTCCTTCACTAATCTCAGCTTCTCGTTCCCTTCTATGGAAGTTGTTTAATGTTGACGACATTTTAATACACCTAGCAATCTATTATATGAACTGAACGCCCTTTACCATTTGTGTCATTCTATCCACTTCCTTTAGATTATAAGCTCCTTTGAGCAGAGCCCTTACTCCCGCTTGTTCCTGTAAGTCCAATTTGTCGTGTTACAGTTGCTTGTCTTATTCAGCCATTGTACAGCGTCGTGGTATATGTTGTCATTTTATAATGATAATATTAATACACAAAACTGTAATTACGAATGAAAAATAGTGTCGATTGGTTGAGACGTCAGGATGTTGATGGTAAATAAGTATTACTTAGGGAATAGGCTGATGCTCTTTTGAATTTCTACGTGAAGCTAGTATTTTGGGATTCTAGTAATGGTCAGATATATTCTAAGTCTGATTGTTCCAGGTGTCCCTCTAGTGGCTATAGTACTCTTTGACACCCAAACTGGGCATTCCACGCCACACTGATTTGTGATCCTCGTTTATTCATAATAAATGGCTGTCCTTATATGGGTGCCACTAACTATACATCCTGACATGTCTGACATATTATACTGGGCAATATCCACACTTCTCACCTTCTTTTTGTGTTTTTATTATGGCTTCAAGATGAGCTATTGGTAACTGTGTTTTGTTTTTGTTTTTTTTTGTTTTTTTTTTTTTTATTTCTCCCAGACCCCTCCTCCTCCCCCCTCTGAACCTTTGCAGGTTGAGCTTCTTCCGGTATTGGCCACCGTCTCTGCGCCTCCAGATGTATCATCCCTCACTCAATCAATGGTGCCTAATTTGGTACCCCAGCACCAATCCACTGTTGATACTGCTGCTCTTAAGCAGGTGGTACCCGGACTGGCATCCCCCCAGCAGATGCAAGCAAACTCCTCTGTTACAGGCCAGGCATCCTCCATTTCATCTGGTATGTCAATGGCCCCTTTGATGGAACTTCCCAAGAAATCAAAAAGTCGGGGTCCCTATATCTGCGCCCTTTGTTCCAAGGAGTTTAAAAATGGCTATAATTTAAGAAGGCATGAAGCAATCCACACAGGTATTAAACCAGCTCGAGCACAGCCAGCAGTAAAGATGGCCACGATGGTGCCTCTTAGCTTGCTCAGTGTGGCAGGAACTCTGGGGGGAGGCACAGAGACCTTGGAAGTCCCAACTTCCCCTTCAACGCTTCCTCTCCCTGGGCCCTCCCCAACAGCCAAGAAAGTGCGTAAAAACCACGCTTGTGAGATGTGCGGGAAAGCCTTCCGTGATGTCTACCACCTCAACCGCCACAAGCTGTCGCACTCTGATGAGAAACCATACTCCTGCCACGTATGTCAGCAGCGTTTTAAGCGAAAAGATCGCATGACGTACCACGTGAGATCACACGATGGAACCGTGCACAAACCCTACATTTGTAGCCACTGTGGAAAAGGGTTCTCACGGTGAGGATATTTGTCATACAGTTTGTCACTTTTATTCAGCTTAGCTGCTAGTTAATTTTTGTCAAATTATGCCTGCCTTTTTTTTTTTTTGTTTTTTTTTTTTGCTTCACACGGTCTACTTGATCCAGTTTTTCACATATCCTATGTATTTTTTTTTTTCTCTCCAGTCCTGATCATCTGAACAGCCATGTCAAGCAGGTTCACTCAACCGAGCGTCCATTTAAATGCCAGGTAAGTGTTTGTTATTGAGTCTTTTTTTCTGTTGGTCAAAATTCCAAGACCTTGTACATTTGTGTGTCATTTGTGTGTTGTGTTTTGAAGAACATAAATTATTTTAGACTGTGTGTAAACCAGACTGGGTTGTCTTCTTTAGCACTGTTTGTATAGCAGACTGGGTGGGTTTTTTTTTGTTTTTTTTTCATGAAGTTTGGTTATAACAGGCAAGTTGGTCTTCTCATGGACTGTTGGTCTAACAGACTGGGTGGTCTTTTATGGACGGTTGGTGTTACAGATTGAATGGATTTCTTGTAGACTGTTGGTGTGACAAACTGTGTGCTTTTCTCATGGATTGTTGGTGTAGGAGACTGGGTGGTCTTCTCCAGGACAGATTGGGCATGTTAAATGTTTCTCTCCTCAGACCTGTGAAGCTGCTTTTGCCACAAAGGACCGACTTCGTGCGCACATGGTCCGACATGAAGAGAAGGTACCGTGTCACGTGTGTGGAAAGCTTCTCAGCCCTGCATACATTACAGACCACATGAAGGTCCACAACCAAGGCCCCAACCACGTGTGTGAACTGTGTAATAAAGGTAAGACTCTTTTTCATAGTGTGCTTGTTCTACACACGTGCAATGACTCACTGCCCACCACATCCCTAGTACAATCCGGTCACCCTTAGCTTGGCATATTCCAATATCCAGCGATGCTCTTCACAGTCCATTGGGAATGCTTCTAGAATGGGATAGCAGGAGAGGGATGTCCCTTTATGAATTTAAATCACTGAGGGCAGGAGTGCATTGCCAGTGGAACTGGGTGATGTCACTAAAGTATTTGTAGGACAAGAAGAAATGAGTATGGTGGAGCAGCCATGATATTTATGAGAAACATTGATAAATTCCAAGTGTACCCAACCTCATGAGGACAAAATATTCAGGGCAGGATTCATGGATCCCAATTCATTGTATCCCACCTATGTATATTTAACTCCAACCTTCTCAGGATTGGACTTAAACATACAGAGTTGGGATACAATGACAAGACATAGGGAGTTATTATTGAAGCTTCTTCTTCAAGAACAGTGTGCCTACCTGGTCCAGTTCCTTTTTTCGCATAAGTGGATTAGTTATTCTAGAACAGGTCAACCCAGAGATCTTAAGCAATTCAATGAGGGGAGAAGCAAATTTCCAACTGTGTTTCGACTCTTGGAGGCATCATCAGTGAGGGACAACTCAACATGAAGAGCGTGCAGCAAGCTGTAGTGATTGGCATTGACCATTCTTAGTTAATCATTTGCTATTTAATGATACAGAACTAATTATAGACCTTGTGTTTATCCCACAGTAATTGTGATTTTTAGACCGCTATTCAAACTTGCAAAACATTTTGTAAATTAGACCTTTTTATTTCCTACAGCATAATATAAACTGTCCGGTAGGGAATTTAGTCTAAACTTGAAATTGGTCAAAAACGACAAAAGAAGGAAATCCTCAAGAGCTACCCTCTCTGTGGGATCATAGGGGCGACTGAAGGGTGGGTCTATTAATGCAATCCTTAAAGGGGGGGGGGTCTTTGGGATGATTATGCTTTGTACAGAAACAGATTGTGTGAATGAGGAAAATTCTGAGGGGAATGTGGGTTAAAGACGCGGTGCTTCCATCCACAGCCTTAAAATGGCGTGTGCTTCTCCCCCCCCGTGTAGGTTTTGCCACGGCCGCGTACCTGCGGGTCCATTCGGTGAAGCACCACGGTCTGGTGTGCCCACGGGCAGACAGCTTCCTCTGCAAGTTGTGCAGCGTACACTGCAAAACCCTGGCACAGCTGAGCGGCCACATGCACACACACGCCATGGCGGGTACCACTGGGCTTTCTGAGGGATCCCTACTGCGGTGACCAAAGCTAAGGCAAGAGCCTAGTTATCGTCTCGTTCTCCTGAGTCCTATGAATTGTGGGTAGGAGGCTGAGCATTGCTAGGTGTTGGGATATGCCACTCTGCAACCTTTCCTTTTCCACTGGCATTGTGTGCCCCAGCAAAAGTACATCTCATAAGTTCTTTCTTTCACCCACTTCAATCCTTTTCCTACTGCTACTTACCGTGCTAACCTCCTTCCCTGTGTGACAGGGGCTGTTCCTTCCCTTTAAGCCTTTTTCATACTGTAGCATTTGATCTTGGATTTCTCGTGCCTCCTGATGACTGTTTCTTTTTTTTCCCTCTTTCTCTCCAGGGACCGGCCAAGTTTGTCCTATAGCTGATCCATCGTCGTCTTTAACTGCAGTCCTGCCGAATGCTGGGGTCCCGGGGATGGTCCCCTCCCAGCCCTGGTGACTGGCTGCCCTAGAGGAGGGTGCAGATAGTGGCACCTTTCTCTATTGATGTCTATGTACAGATTGGGGGGATCAAACCCCCTGCATCCAATCCGTATTTTGGCAAGCTCTGCTGGGGTGCACGTGCCATTTCCCCCAACCTGGAGGGTATTGAAATCGTAAGGCATTCTGAGGATCATCCCAACTGGCACTTCTAGGTGTTACTTTGTTGTCCCTTATAGTTACCAGATGCCAGCACAACTAAGCCTTGCTGGATACAGCACCAAAGGGGAAACTTTATCCACTACACCCCGAGGTTGGGAAAGAGTATTAGTTTATAAAGACATATTCACCCATTTTCTAGCCAGGACCATTGTCATAGGAATGAACAATACAGTGTAACCAGCACTGGCGGCCTAGTAAAGGCTAATGGGGGTGATACCAGCTGCACTCCTGGCTTGGGATTTGTTAATGAGATGAGACTCTACTTTGCTGCTGGCATGGAATGGGTTAATGGGATGAGGACCAGATGGGTTGCTGGCATGGGATTGGTAACGGAATGAGGAACAGCTGAGCTGCTGGCATTGGATTGGTTAATGGGATGAGAACTGGTTGGGCTGCTGGCATGGGATTGGTGAATGGGTTGAGGCCCAAATGGTCTACTGGGAAGGGAGGAGTTTATGAAGGCGTACTGTAAATGGGCAACTGGCATTGGAGGAGTGAATTGAATGATATCCTTTTGCGGCCACTGGCATGGGAGGAGCTAATGGCAAGTTCTCCATTGAGCTGTAAATGGTACAGTTGCTAAGGGACTGGAATGGCACCCAGAGCGCTTGCGTGGTGACACTAAATACCTTTTAGATGTTTCCTCTGGTTTAAATCTATATATAATACATAGTATATATATTTTTATAGCCCTTCAACTAACTCCGACATGGAAAGCGCCCATACCAGGCAGTATGGAGATAGTAGGGGGAATGAGTTGAGTCCAGTATTATGGCAATATGGATGCATGTGTGAGGATTGGTCTAGGAGAGATCAAGATGGTGAACTTTGAGGACCACTGGCATGGGAGGAGACTTGTGTGCAAGATTTGTAATGAAATAGTAGTGGTATGGAGCACTGATATCCATGATCCGTAGCAGTAACAGCATCAGGTGTGAGATCAGTAATGCAGTGGCAGAGATATGGGCAGTGCCAACCTCCGGTATGAGACCAGTAATGCTGTGCCAGCCTCTGGTGTGAGATCAGTAATGCAGTGGCAGAGATACTGGCAGTGCCAGCCTCGGGTGTGAGATCAGTAATGCAGTGGCAGAGATACTGGCAGTGCCAGCCTCAGGTGTGAGATCAGTAATGCAGTGGCAGAGATACGGGCAGTGCCAGCCTCAGGTGTGAGATCAGTAATGCAGTGGCAGAGAAACGGGCTGTGCCAGCCTCAGGTGTGAGATCAGTAATGCAGTGGCAGAGATACGGGCTGTGCCAGCCTCAGGTGTGAGATCAGAAATGCAGTGTTAGAGATACGGGCAGTGCCAGCCTTGTAAAAGCGGTAATGGAATATCAGATACGGGCAGTGCCAGCCTTGTAAAAGCAGTAATGGAAAATCAGATATGGGCAGCGCCAGCCTTGTAAAAGCAGTAATGGAAAATCAGATACGGGCAGTGCCAGCCTTGTGAGAGCATTAATGAAATATCAAAGATCTGGGTAGTGCCAGGCTTGTGCGATTGTTAATTGAATATGGGCAGTATCAGCCTCGAATATAAATCCATCAGGGAATAGTGTGTTAAGTGAGGACAGTACAGGGATAGCTGAGGAGCTAAACCACCTTCTATAGTGCGGCCTCAGCATGTTTGCTCCTGCGCCACCAATGAGCCATTCATTTCTCACCCTCTGTTCTGCAGTTAATCATCATTGCTTAGAAAGACATGGGTGTAATATGTAGCTCAGACTGTCCCCAATTCACTAAAGTCAAGGGGCACCCACAGCACCAAACACTATTTCAGTAATTATGGTGCAGTGTGTGCAAGTGCCACCACCCCCAGTTTATGAGCCATTTGCCAATACTGGGATTGTCCCGGTTCATAAGCCCTTAAATGGCACTGATATGGTGGGGGGTGTTACCCCAGTGCTGACAGCTTGGCATGCTTTACTTTGAAACCAGGAATCTCCATGCATCTGTTAGTCAATCTTCCAATATTTGCCTTCAGTCTTGGTTCTGCAAAGTGTGCCTATTTCAGCATTTTGCTTAGACTTGGCACACAGCATTTGGCTGCATTTGGCCTTTCCTGTTCTATGATGGTACGCAGACACCCCATCTTCCTTTACAGTAAAATAGCTTACCGCCCCCCCCCACCTTGCACTGGCACATCCTGGCATTCCTACCCCTCTGGCTGGGCACATCACATCCTCTACGTTATTCCCCTGCCATTCTTGCTTGTGTAATCTGATTACCTATGTATTCCCTCCAAGAGCTCAATCATTTTTCAACTATTTTATTGTTTTAAATAGAATTTAACAAATTATTTTGTAAATTTTGACTTCCAAAGTAAAATATTTTTATAATTTAGCAGACACAGTAGATACTTTTTAAACTATATGCTCCACTGCATTGAAATGTGTTAAGATTTTACAGGTCCGCGGCACCTAGCTCGTATTTACACAGTAATTAAAAAGTAATCCTCGCTGGATTCACATCTGTGGCTTTAATTTAGCTCATTTATTCCCTATCACGTAAAACTCTGCTGACCAGTTCTCTATCTGCCCTCTCCCTGGGTGCATTTTTCAGTACTTTCACGGTATAAATGTGATCATATTTATAATATTGTAGGATAGATTCCCTCTGACCCTGCAGTACATAGGAAGATCTGGGTGGAAGGTTTAGTACAATCCCAGCACAGTGACACCATGTGGCATTGGGGTGATGAACAATTTATACACAGATATATATTTTGGTCTGTTTTATAGAATATTCTGCAGTTAGTCTTTGGCCGTTCAGTGCAGGCTCTTGTAACAATCTTCCTCTGCTGACATTTCTCCCATCGCTGGACAAACTGAGGGGAAAATGTGGGAGGCTCAGAGGGGAGTGGATGTACCGTCATTGGCAGGCACCATAAAACAAGCTTTTTCTTATCTTTGTTAATTTTCTCTATACGGCCCTATTGGTCTCTAGTTACTAACCCCTTCCTTATTACTTTATATAATCCAATAAAGTAAAAACCTACTTATAATCCAGCGCCAGGAGTGGGTCTTCCACGCCGTGTCTGATATCTGGCCTTGTTGCTACTCCCTTCATCTCCGTGGTCCAAACAAATGGTTCTCAAAGAAATGTATTTTATTGGGCCGTTCTGCAGGTGTAGAATGCTTGCACTCTGATCCAGGTAAGGTGGAACCTTTTCATTTGAATAATTGGAAAGGAGGGAGAAGCTCATTGTGCACAGAACCCATGGTGCCAGGGGTGTAACTAGTCCCTGGCACAAAAGTTAAGATATTTCTGGATGGGCAGTGTTTCAAGCTGATACACTGCACATACAGACTTCAATCCCCATGACCACTTCTAGAAGCAGAAATAGTCATGGTGGTTGCAGTACCCCTTTTAGTTGTGCTTTATGATACTTTAAAAGTAATAAACATTTTGGAAAACAAATTTGAGGCCTCAAAAAAAGGCAAGAACATTTTATTCTGGTATAAGTTGTTCCAGGAATGAAAGACAGACAGGCAATAGTGATATAAAGCTGAATATTAAAAATGAAATTGCCTTGCTCATCAGGGCCATATTGATTTGGAGTACGTTTTATATTTAAAAAAAAAAAAAAGTTTCTGTAGTATAATATCCGTATTATATTTTAAATTGGTGTTGGTGACCTGTCCTCCCACTCTGACGTCAGCTCCCGAGTGGAGCCGAATGCGCATGCACGGCCCGAGCAACGCGCGCATTAAAAACACCTGTGTCAGGAAGACAGCCACTAGAGGCTGGATTAACCCTGCAATGTAAACATAGCCGTTTCTCTGAAAAACCTGGGGAACCTGGCACCCAGACCACTTGAGCTGAAGTGGTCTGGCTGACTAAAGTGGTCCTTTAATTTGTGCTTACCCTGGTGCAGCAACCAACCTTCTTATACCTAACTAGGAGAAACTCCCTTTCGGAAATTTTTTAAATCAAAAGTTTCACTGATTTATTTACTCCGGAAGCAGATAATCCCCAACTATCAACATTTCAGTCTCAACAGGAGTCTCGTCTTGAGAAAAGTCTCCAGCTGAGACTGAAACGCTGATACAATGTGATTACAAAGCACTGAACAGTTTGATTTAAAAATTCCCAAGAGTGGCCTTCTACTTGTTTGGTGTGTATGTATATCTATATATGTATTATTATTATTATTTTTTTTTTTATGTGTGTATATATATAGGCAAGCATATGCCCGCATACAGTAAGCACAGTTGCCTGGCTAAAAGCAAGCATCTTTACTTTACGCATTTATTTTTTTACATTAATGTTTTTGTTTACAGTTACAATATTCCCAAGCACTCTTCATTTCTTGTTAGAAAGCTATCTTGCAGCAAACTCGCTCTCATAAGTAGGTAATTCATGGCAATTGTTTTATTATATAATTACTAGGCAGCTTAATTATGCGCTAATGGTGCAATTTGAAAAATCCCTTAGGTTTTGCAGAGAATCCACCTTCTGAATGCTGGCATCAGTTTACCTACTTACAGACTTCCTAAGTTGCTAATGCTAGATAGATGTGAAAAGAAAGAATACTGTGGAAAAATCTGAAGACTCTATTTAATTCCATCTCGACCTGGGAATATCTCTGAGTGTTAAATAGCCATGTCTGTAGCCGCTAAAGCTGCCTCTTAGCACCACAAAGAGATTTTGCTTCCTTAAGTTTCTATGAATCTCACGTGGAAGCTTAAATCATGGTACTCTGATGGAGCATTGTACCATAAGATCACACACACATTGCATTTGCAGGGAGCTTAGAAATATTTATATTATTATTGCCATTTTATAGCGCCAACAGATTA